AGATCGAGACAGAAGTGTACAGAACTCTATAGGAAAAGCTATGGTTTTCATCATGGCTGTTTAAATGTGTGGGTTCTTCTAATCACATCCGAAAGCTGTTATCTATCTCTGCTTTATGTTCTGTTGATGGTATTTTCTGCAGTAACATCTAGAGGAGAAAACAAGAGTTCTATTAACTCCTGTTTTGTGCCCGTTTCAAATTGTGAGGAAATGTCTCCTGCTGTTAAGAGTCGAGGTCTATAACAATCATGATTTCAGTTTTGAGTTTGAGGTTTTAAAGACAGAAACAATCTATGATAAAGGATGCAAAGTATATTTATACTAACGCATGAGAGCAAGTACTTGTGTTATCAAAGAGATGTAATTGTGGAGGTGTGCTGTAAAGACGGGCTGCTCAAGTAGCTTAGAAAAAAGGCCGTGCAATTCTAGTTATGCTTATTAACGGAAGTTTAGCATAAAGGCATTTGGCTTTGTGGGCGTTTTCTCTGGTATTTAAAACAAAAATTGGGGGTTTTGTTTCATCTGTCTTGTCACCACCAAAAGCTCAGAGTTTCTCAGTGTCCTTTAAATGTGTTGAATATCACCCTTTTTAGTGGGTATTTTTTCCCGTGTGGATTCCCAACTGCATTGCTTTTCTCTGGAGGTGCTGATACCTTTTTTTTTTTTAAACCAACTATGCATATATGTGATTAGTAAGGTGTACAGAGTTATTAACAAACAAAATACAAAATTAGGTACAGTTGCAAGCTGCCTTTTGGCAGACATTCATAGGTCTGTCTAAAATCTTGCTCTCTGTGTTGTTCCTACTGGGTAAACATTTACATCTCAGATGTCCCTTTTCTTGGCAGTTCCAGCAAAATGGTGAAGAATGTGTAAACCTTGTAAGCTGCCTTAAAAGTTAAGGAAAGTCTGAAAGAGCAAGAGGGTGCTTCCATGTACTGTGCAGTAAAGCCTTGTTTCTAGAAAGGGACTCTGGTCTGGTTTTGCCGGTGTTGTCTGCTCCTCCCACACCCCCCCCGTTGCCTTTTTTTTTTTTTTTTTTGACGATTAAACATCAATAACTTTGTACTCTGCAACTTTGACCTTTGGAAAATCTACCAAGCCCAAGTACATTTAGTTGCAGGCTTTTTGTCTAAAAGACCCATTATCTCTGTGTATTGGAACTGATTGAATGTAATGTGACTTTTTCTAAACCAGGCTTGAAAGTGGGTGAAAAGGAGTGCTTTAATCTTTTATAAAGATGAATTATAGGTTACACTTCTGAGTTACACTTCTGTTCTTAAGTTTTCCTTGTGTATTTATAAGGGTTTTCTCAAACAACTGGATGTGGAACTTGTTTTCTGATCTTTTTGAGAATAATATGCATTTAGATTGGCTAGAAGAATGTGTTGTGTTTTGTGTGGTTTTTTTTTTTAACAGAACAGCTTGAAAACTGCCAGCACTGAACAACAAATTGACACAGACTTCAGATTTCCCCCCCCGCCCCACCTTTAGAAATCCATTTGGGCTTGCAAAATAATTTCCTTAGAAATGGTAAACACCATTTCTGCTCAATTTTACTGAATTCTTGCTTAGACTGGAAATCGTTCTAATGTCGTGCTTCTGCCTCTCTGCTGCCACTCTCTGAATAATGTGTTTTAGAGTAAGAAATGGGTCAGAAAATAATTTTGAATCTGAAACCTCTTAATTTTTTTGGCTACAGATGGAGTAATTGTTTTTAGAATTTCTGGATTGCAGTTGATCCCTGGGTTTTGATTCAAAAGGGACCACTTACTGGTTTTGGAACTACTTTAAACCAGTTTCTATGCAGTCTCAATCTTGACAAAACCAGCTTTCTAGATAATGTCAGTTCTGAACCAAAATTATGCACACTTTTGTGTTAAACCTAATCTCCTTGGGTCTGTCATTGGTTAGGTTTGCCTGTGTAAATTGTGGTGTCTAAATTGTGATATTTAATGTGAATATAATATCAAATGCCCCTGAAACATTTTCTTATCTTTCCAGGCTATGACATTAGTGTCATTATTTTTCTTAATATTGCTGATGGATGAATACTCTTGACTATCCACTGTTGATGCTTATTAGGAGTAAATGCTGTTCCTACAAAAGGCATTGCAATGGTAAGGTTTTCAGAGCAGACATATATATGTAGAGATCTATAACATAAAAATTAGACCAAGTCAAAATTACAGGAGAAGGAGGCTTCCAGAGAGACAAACATGGTTTTGATCACTCGGGTTCTGAATCAGTCATAGTGTAGCATCATCATCAGTATTAGCTGTTTTTAAGAATTCCCAGATGATGACTGCAGTGGTTTGCCAGAAAAGGTGAAGAAGCCTGTCTGTTTCTTCCAAAATCAGCACTTGTCTAATAAAAGATACGGGGTGGGGTTTTTTGTGAACCTTGCCTAGGTTGTTCTGTAACATTTTTTAATGTGATAATATAATGTGATGATTTGTAACTTCCATTTCTGCTCTCTAGAACACAGACTGCATTTTAATGGCTTGGTTAAAAGTGAAAATATGAAATACTCTCCTTCATTTATAAATATTTATAGTATATCTAGGCTCCAATAAGCCACACACTGAATTTTTGACCAGTGTGGCTTTCATTAAGGTTTCCATGGGAATGACAGTACCCCCTAGCTGAATATAAATGAGAGCTGTGCCTATCATTTTGAATCAGCCTTTCTATTTTAGATTCTAAGACATGGCATATCGGAAGGAACGGGGTTCTGCAATGTATGTGTATAACAATTCCTACTTTCATGTTGGGACTTAGTGAAGCCTTGTTGTTTGCATATGTTTAGCCTAGTGATAAATACCAACGAGAACTGCCAGCTCCAAAGTCCATTCCACATGAGTCATATGGTGTAACGCTGCAGCCTTTTGTGGGGTGAGGCCTCTTACGGACGGGAAATTCTGAGCTGACTCAGCTGCAGTCCTAGGCCACTGCAGTGTATCGACAAAATGAGTACGTCTTTATGTTCTGGTCATCTATTCATAGGAAAGTGGAGAAAATAGATACCGTTAATAAGATTCCCTTGACTTCCTGAATCTTCTTCCTTTGATGCAATTTGCAAACCAGGGAACGCAACTCTTGAGTAGCCCCGTTTCCATGGCTTTGGATTTTTATATGATTACAGCTACACAAGACTACAAAGAACTCATGACATTCGAGTGTTTAGTCTTTTTGGTTCAGTAGAAAGGATGGTAAAACTCTTCCTTTCAAGTATACAAAAAAAAAAAAAAAAAAAAAAAAGAATACTCTCCCCCCCCCTTTTTTTTTAATGTATTCCAATTTAATCTGAAGCAAACAGTTTTTAAGAAGTATCCTCTAGAGAGAAGACAATACATTGCCAATTTATTTCCTAATTGGTCAGATAGTGGAAACACTTGTTTGGTGTGGCTGTTGGTATGTTTGAGGATATTTATTTCTTGCTCTTTTTTCCAAACAGTGTTGTTTCAGAAGTAATATTATACTCCAGAAGACTGGAAATTGTGGTAATGACAAAGTCTCCTGAAATCAGGCTCGTAATGAGGCTACAGTTGTTGTAGAAACTAATAATCATTAGAGTTGCTGGCTGTAACTTTGACAGCCCCACTAGTAAGTGGAACTCTTCTGTACTCGTATGTGAAGCTATTAAATCTATATGTATGTTAGTACAGGAAAGGATCATTCCACTGATTTTATTTTTCTTTTTACATTTCTGTAGATGAAAAGCAAATTGACTAAATGGTATGAAAATAATAAAGGGAAACTTAGGCCTTATCCAACCCTGTGTTTTCCCTCCAGGAGCTGGGGATTTCAGATGTGTGGTTACAGCCTGTGGGGCAAGAAGTTAAGTGTCTGATCTCACGCAGTATGTTTGCTAAGTGGCTCAAGGTCTGACATGGCATACTTGAGGAAAATATAATATATCTGTAATATCTATATAATATATAGATAATATATCTGTACCTATTATAATAGCATCTGTGTATCTTTAATGATTAAAGCAAACATATAAACTTTCTTGCTACCTGAAAATTACACCAGCTAGATCTGTAGAATAAAGAGGTAGACGTGTAAAATAGGGTAGAAGGAGATGCTGACACTCCTTGAGTGTTAACCGTTTTAACAGAATTGAAAGCTAAGTTTCTAGCTTTCTAACTTACAAAGTTCCCAGACTTTGACTGTGGTTGCTTTCGTGTAGTTTATGGAGACAAAACTAGCAGAACTTCCCTTTGACAGCATAGTAAGGTGGGATTGATCAGTTGTTCAAGTGTGATACTTCTGTTTGCATGAATGATACATATTTCATACATGACAAATACTATGATGCATCAAACAATGTTGTATTATGTGAAATTTGTTGAGTTTCTAAGCTGTATAACATAAATGTTGTTTGTTGCCTGGCTGGTATGTCAGTTCTGACACAGTACATGAGATCATGACAGGTAGCTCTTTTGGAAAACTTTAAGTGGAGACTTTTAATTGTAAATTGTAATTAAGCGCAAAGGGAACTTAATTTATTGAAGGTGCTAAAATGTGAAGGAACGTATTTCTTTATATACAACTTCAATAAAGTATGTATTGCAGTCACTCAATTCTAGCGTATTTAATCATCCTATTAAAATCTTTTCCTAAAAGCATAGCGAATGAATTATACAGGATTTAATTCATGAATGATGCATAATTCGAGCAAGCTTGAAATGTAATATGAGTTATATAGTCTTATTATTTTAATGCTCTTATTTTAATGAGGTCAGAGTGTGGCGTACAGAGCAAGGCTAGCACTGAGCCTAAACCTGTAGAACTACCTCAAACTTTTACAAATAGGTTGTGTGTTCAGTTTAGGTAGATCTGATTTAGCATTACTGGATGCTAATAACCCAGAAGACACTTTTTATTTTAGTTTTCTTTTTTTTTCCCCTTAACAATCTCTTTATCATTTCAAACACTAGTGGATGCTAGCTTTGAGTAATATACTGGTTTTTTGTTGTTTTTTTTTTTTCCAGGTCTTTAAAGGTGAATTTCAGCTTCCAGACTTCCTTAAAGATGTGCCACAGGTACAGTATTGGATTAGTTTCCTTTTTGCAGGTAGTTAGCAAAGTTAGTATGAAACCAGTCTTTATAAACCACTTCATAAATTTGATTTTCTGTTTGATCGTAAGAGAATAGGTCACTAGAGATTATAAGACAATAGCTTGTCCATGAGATTGAACCTCCAGCACTCTTGCTCTTACACTCAGCAGTCCCAAGGCTCTTTTGAGTGCATGTGTAACAAGTGTTAATAGTGTGGTGCGGGTAAACCTCAGCTGACTGGAGACTGCTGTGAAACTTGAGGAAAGTTTGACTCTGTTTTATGTAGACCAAATTATGAAGTTTATTATTTGTAGAGAAGCTTTACTTTTTGTTGCCTTCCATATTAAGGTTTAAAGCAATGATAGTATAGATAGCAGATGAGAGATTTAAAAAAACCCAACCAACCAAATTACTGTATTGGGAAAAACAAATTAACAGTTCAGTCATGGATAGTGATGGTGTGTTGATGTAATAATCAACTGAGCTATTGAACTTAAGATTTTACTGAGAATCCATAATCTGGTACCCTTCAAATGCTATTAATTATCATCAACTACCTAACGGACCTAACCTTTGCAATAGCAGTTGAAAAAGCAAAATCCTTATCGTGGAGCTCTCGAACTCCAGGATCTCTTGATACATTCCCCCCCGGCTATGTGAATCTGTGGGAGGCATGCTTCCCAGCCTCATGCCCTTTCCTCATGTAGGCATAATGGAAGGGTTTTGGGTTGTAACCACTAGCCCATTTATGGACATAGGCGTTCAGTTTGGAAGATGGCATCCCTTGCTGCTGGGCAGCTCTTCTGTGTCTCCTGAAGGTAACAGAGCAGAGAGGATGAACTTGTTCCATGGAGCTGTCTGTTGGAGTGCTCCGTTTCAGTACTTTGAAGGGTGTGTGTACGTGTGTTATGTGTCTTATCCTCCCTCCCATAGCCATGCAGATTTAAGCTCTGCTAATCTAGCCATGAAAAACCAGAGCATATGATCTAGACAAGGTGCAAATCGTTAATTCACCTTTGAGAGAAAAAAACAAAAACATGGGTATTTTATTGCTTAAATGAAATATTTCTGTGAAATAAGTAGCATGTGTAGCAGTTAGTTTTGTTTTCTTGGGTAAGAGCTGCTCAGCTAGGCTTATAGGAATATATATTTTTGTAGGCTGTATAATTGATGGTAGATGTCTAAATGCCATCTAAAGTGCTCTCTGTGCTTTGATAGAAAAAACAGGAAGTGGCTCGTCACTGTTACTGTCTCAGGGTGTTGTTCAAGTAAAGCTAAGTAGAAAACAACTTGGTTTTTTTCAATTCCTCCTGCATATACAGGAGTACAACATTGCAGAATTGGGAGAGAAAGCATTCTAGGGGCTTTCTGCCTCCAGAATTTTGTATTTCTGCAGCTACAAGAGCAAGAGGCATTCTTGTCTCCTGTTAACCTCAATAGGAGCTGTGGGTTGCCAAGCCTTCAGAGTTACCTGGGATTTTTGTTGTTGCTGCTATTTTATGGTTTTCAAAAAATGCAAATCATAGAGCTTCCTTTAGCCTCTTGCAAGGCCTTACTCTTCTTTTCCAAGGGCTGGAGGCCACCGCCATTCTTTGTTTATATTTTGTTCTGTTTAGCAGCTCATTCTTTTGGGTGGGAGAGGGGTGCCTCCTTACTGACCAGGCTTCACTTTGATCACATGTGATCTTCTTTTTGCATGGTAATGCTGTTCAAGGGGGACTACTTTAGTGCAGCTCTTTAAAAATGAGTCAATAGGCAGAGCAGTCCATTGAAATGGTAACTTGCAGCGTAACTGTAGCCAAATATGCCAATACTTTAAGCAAAAGATGAAAAAATTTTATGTGTCTACCCTGGTTTCTAAAAAGCCTGTAATTACTTTATATTTCTACTTGATTTCCTAATGGTACAGAAATTTATTTAGAATGTAAGTAGCCTATCAAAAGTAAAATAATTTGCAGTGTCTTTACTTTTATAAAGAAGAAAAAACCTACCAGGCACAAGCTTTCTAGACTTTGGATCCCCAGTATTAAAAAAAACCCTCTTGATAATGACTTTTATTAGCATGTAGAGATTGAAGAATACACAGCAGGATCTACCACATGTGAACAAAGCATTTTGACATGTTCCGTTATTTCAAATTAAAACTTAATTAATTAAAAAGGAAAATTGGTTTCTTTTGTTCCAGCCAAAGAAGACAGTAGAAAGGAAGTCTCGTGGCAAGATAAAATGAACATGGATCAGTAAAGCCGAATAGCTGTAGTGTCTGTTTCATGTTTTCAGAGTATCACTTTTTGCTGTAGAAACCAAGTCTTTCTGATAAATCTTTGTGTGATCTCTAATGTGGGCTTCGCTCTTTTACTGGATGTTTGTCTGCTCTCACCCTTCGAACAGTTAGTGCTCGTGCTTTGCGAGTTGCGCTCAGCTGATAGAAAACCATTAAGAACCTGGCACCACGCAGCTAAATGTGCTGTTGCTCACAGCATTGTTCACTCTCAACTGCTGGCCAAAATGTCTATGCAGCTTAATGGCAAGACAACTATTTGAATGTGTGCTGCTTAAAAGTTATTGTCAGCAAATTGTATTGAGAAAGTGTGCTGTAGTTATTTCTAATGCTTTCAAGTGCATTATTGTGGTTATTTCAAGATCATCTACAACCTTACAGATAAAGCTGCAGCATATATGGCTGCAAGCATAGGATGTGTCAGAACAGCAGGAGATTAAATATTGCTGATAAGGATTTCTGGAAAATGCAGGGAGATGAGCTATCTTTAAAATTTAGCACACTGTGCATAAATAGTGTGCTAGCAAAATAAATAATCCTTGATCTGCCTGCCATATCTGTTAGTTAAATTATGCTATTTGTTTTTTCAGTTATCTTGTGATACAACGGAGGAACTTGGTGCACTATTTCTAGCAAATGCCCTCTTTCAATCTATATGATAGGGAAATGTCAAAATGGGACTCTACTAAATTTCGGGAGGTGGATTTATACAGTTAGCTTGGTATGATTACAGTATTTACCGAACTCTGAGCAGTTTTATCCAAAGTAAAGTAAAACTCAGCTTTGTGAAATAGTAAGAGAGTATTTCTTAAACTATGAACACTGATGTTGGAGTTGAAATTTATTCTGATGTTCTGCTTTAGTAGCATACTAAAGATAAAATTAACATCATGTAACCAGGCAGCTAGATGGTTTTGAGAGCAAACATTGGTACTGATAATGATATTTTTTCCTCTAATATAAAATAGCTAATTTAATTTTAATTATTTACTTGACAGACTGAACCTATGGAATAGAAGAGACGATGGATATTTCTGGCACAGAAGGTAATAAAAGAGCATGCAGTTCTGCTCACTTGCTCCTCTTGTTTTAGTTAAGGTGACTTTCTTAAATTTGTATAATGCCATGTAAGATTCTGTGTAAAAAAAAAAAAAAAAAAAATGATGATATGGATCTTGATTCAGAATCTGTCGAAATCACACTGAGGTAAGTCCTAGTGGAGAGGGCTACAAAAGTATAGCTCATGTGTTTTGAGAATCACCGTGCAGTTCTACATGGCTCATCACAATCTGCACTATTGGATTGTCAGCACTATTTTAGAGCTTGTAATGGAAAGGAGTACATAAAACTGTATCTTGATTCAGCCAGGCATTCTTCAGCGGAGTTTCTTGTTCATTTTAGTATGTGTGTGTCTTTCAGCACCATGGCATACTTGCACACAGACTCAGGTTCCCATTTTAACAGAATGGTGAAACTTTAAAGACCACTCTTAATCATCTTTTTCTTGCTTTTTTAAAATGAATTGTCTTTTTCTTGCTTTTTTAAAATCAATTGCCCTTTGTAGATAGAGGAAATGGCTAAAGATGAGCTGATTTGTATCATTTGCTTTTAGTGTGTCCCATAGCCAGTATTTTCAATAAACTGTGTTTTAGTTGTTGAATTAACAATGGCAAGATTGTGCAGGGAACTCAGTTTATTCCAGACTAGTCACCAAATGAATGGTGCAAAATTTACTTGTCAACCCTATTATCAAATATTCTAGCTTAACAACAAAAGATAGCAAAATGCATCCAGTTTAAATGTAGCCAAAAGCAACAGCCACATAAGTATACCCTGCATAGATATTTATATGTGGCCAAAAATATAGCTTGCTCTCTAGCTCTTAATATGGCCAAAAGCATCATACCAGTTAGAAATAATGGATGTGAAAGTTTTCCAAAGATTAATTGCAGACCTTCATTCTGAAATCGATAGGGAAACCATAATCTTTTTGTGTAGTCAACGTTAAAATGACCGAAACATCTACTTCATGTTGCCCCTTATCTCTTTGAAAAACGCATTTAAAACTACAATATTTCTCCCTAAAGCTCCTGTCCAGTTTCTGAGAACCCAACTGTTAACTTCCCAGTGGTAACTACCACTGGGACATTGTAACAAGAGAGACTTTCAGCATGTAAATGCAGCCCACTTTCACAAGTATTTTGAATGTAAGTGCACATTCAGATGTAGTTCTTTTATATCTAAATATGCTCCAAGAAGTAACTCTAATGATAAATGATGGAAAAGGCAGCCACGTTCCTTACGGGAAGGTTTTTAGTGGGTTAGTTGGTCTTGACAGTGACTTTTCACCTACTGAGATAACAGTGATTACTCTTAATTATGCATGATTTGTAATTACACAGTGTTGTCAGGGTTAAAACCAGAATATTACATTGAAAGCTCAAACATAACTTTTGTTTTTCTTCTCCTTTAGAAAAAAAGACTGCTGCCTTTTCAATGGAATGATCATACAAGGACTGTCCCACTGAGATCAGTGAGGTGTACTGCTCATGGCCTGCTTTTTTCCGAACTTTCTCCCCCATTTCTTTCATACTGTTTTCAAAATTTTGTTGTGAGCGCATGTAAACCTGTTTAAAAAAAATCAATGATGTTAATGTAGAACCATACTACATTCGCACAACTACTTTTTTAAGGTTTTAAAAA